CTGTCCAACAGATGCCGTCGCCCTGTCCTCATCCTGGTCACCTGACTCACATCCTCCTGCTCAGCTGTGTCCCGTTTCCCCACTCAGTTGCCAGTTTGTCAGTGTTGCTTTGTGCCTTTGCTCTCCAGCCATCTGAACCTGAGACTTCTTCGATAAATCACTCCCTCGCCACCGCCCGCCTGACACTCAGTTAATGTGCTTCATCAGGACCGTGGCTGCTGATTGATCAGATTGGACTGACAGTGGCGGCAACACAAGAAGACAACCCCACAACCATCACCAGGCGTTGGTTCAAATGTAGTAGAAAGTATCACAGCTTCCATTTCAAACCAGTACAAAAACACATACACAAAAAAATCTCTCCTTTGAAATTAAACTAATTAAAGATTATACATTAAAGCTCTCAGTACCTGCATACAATGCCCACCACACAGTGTTAGATTTGCTCATCTGCAAACCAATGTGTCGGCCAATCTGTGAAATATAGTCTCACAAAGTCCTATATGTTTGTTTAATATGTCCAAGCCATATATGAGGTAGTGATTAAAAATTAATAATCTCTGGATAACCTTGGATGTGAGACATTCTGCACGCTTTCGCTTTTGCTGCAGACGTGTATTTTGTGTCAATTTAAAACCACAAGGTTTTTCTGGCGACTGCACGGATTCCATCGGTGCGGTAAACAGAGCTGCACTGTGGTTGCACCGCGTTCTCCTCGTCGGTGTACGTATGAGTGCATGTGTTTGTGCTCATTTGCGTGTGAAAAACAAAGAGACAGTGACACGGAGGCAGGCAGAAATAAGTGGGCTGTGTTTTGTAGACGGTGACATCCGATCGGGGAGGAGGGGATGAACAGATGTACTTTGTTCATGTCTCTGACAGGTGTACCAGAAATCTCTCTCTCTCCACTTTCTCTGACAAGCCAGCCTGCACTCTCCTCCAGATCTCCTGTCCCTCAGCCACTAACCAGACCCGCAGGTGGGACCTCACCGGCGACTCCAGCAACGTGCCCGGGATCCTTAAGAAGGCAACTCGGTGTGTGCTGTGTTCTCTCAAGTGTAAAGCCTATTTCATTCCCTACAAGCCCAACAGCTTGCAGTGGCTTGACGCTCGGGTGGTTTGTTGCAGATGGAGAAAAGAAAAGAGCTGCAGAGGCTTGGGTTTGTTTGTTCTGGCATCTGGTTGGGATCCAGATTTGGTTTGTGTCGTGGACTTGACGGGGTTCTTGACTCAGAGGAGAATTCTGTTCTGTGGTAGAGGCCCATTAGGTAACAAAAAACACTCGTGAGGTTTAGGAAAAGAGCGTGGTTGATGGGAACTTCACTGACTAACGACTCACAAGAGCCACGTGACTAACTCACATTACTAACGACTGATGTGACAAAATGTCAACTTCACTTTTATACGTGCTCACCCTGCGGTTCCCCCTCAGGTAAAACACTGTTAGCTCTGTCAGCACTGTTGCATAAGTTTGCACTGTTAGCACTGTAAGCTGTCACCAGTTTGAGAGCTGTGGAGAGGCAAAAGACAAACTAACAATGTCGTATTGAGCACCTTTTTAAAATTCAATAAAGTTTCACATGAGCCAGGTCTTGGTGATTTGCAGCTGAGTAGGCATTTAGGTTAAGCTTTATTAACTTTGATGAAGAGTGATGTTTTTCTTGGGGGATGTTCTATTTGCATATGGAAATTGTTAACTTCTACATGTGGCAGGTACATTTTGAACCCAGACATCTGAAAACGTTTTCCTTTCAACCAATTTAGCTCAGTTTGGAACTGGACACGTTGACGTCTTCTCACCTCTGAAACAAACTCAAATGTAGTATCACCAGATTTAAAACAGCAAATCTGTCAATCTAATGTTAGTTGCTGAATTTTTTCCCGAGGCAAATATCCAGCAGGTATTGGGGTTGGATCTGTCGAGTCTCCAAAATTCTGTTTCTTCTCTGACCTTGATGCAAAGATGGCAGAATGCCAAATTCCCTGTGTTTCTAAGGATAAAGGAGATGGGGAAAAGAACAGCAAATCAGCGCTCCTTGCCGACATTAAGATAATTCAGACTATTCAAATTGTGGCTGGCACTTAAATACTTTAACTCAGCGAGGAGCCCTATTAATCAAGACTTCTTCACCTTTACCCTAGGTGTTAACCGCACTATAACAAGCTTAATCACAACTGTTGCAAAAACACTTGAAAAATGAGAATAAAAGCTTGATTTGTTCCATAATATTTCTCTAACTGGAGTCCCAAGATGGTAAAGGGATTAAGATCGGATTGAGGATCAAGAACCATGAAACCTTTTCAGATTTAACATAAATAGCATCACAATGCTAACTTAACTCCATAAGTCAGTCAGGGATGCTGTAGGTGTGTCTGTGGAATAATACCACATGGGTTTGATCTGACCTTCGGAGGGACAGACTATCCATCAAACAGCAAATCACACTGAGGGCACAGTAGCAGCCCAAAAAGAATCCCTGACTTCAAATCTGAAGATTGAAGCCAAATATACAGATTCACATGAGATAAGTCTGCAGGCGTGAGAGCGTGAGGGGAATTTTTGAACATTGCGCAACTGGACTCTGGTCTGAGGAGCAAACTTTAATCATAATTTGAATCTTGGCTGTCTGACTTGTTGGCAAAATGCCTTCAAATACATTAAAGGGAGATTACTGGAGGAGAAGGCATCCGTTTTTTAAAGAGATTATGTTGAAATAAAGTTGAACTTTTATAACGTATATCCTATTCAGGCAGATTCATCAGATGTTGATCCTATGCTGTGACACATTACTGTCATGTCGAGATGACTTTTCACATTTCATGTTGACTAATACTTTAATTTTGACCTTTTAAAAACGATAATTGCACATTGCTCATTTCTTTCTAAATCAAGGCAGCTTTGCTTTGAATGGTTCACCGTGTTCTCTTTAGACAAGACCAAGCCTTCAGAGAAGCATCAGTCATTCAAAAGCACATTTCATTAAGGCATTAGCCATGACCATGTACGTCTTTGCTACCTACAGCATTCATATTTATATTATCTTTTAAAAAGTCAAATAGGAGTATATCACTAGTAAGGCTTTAAAACACGCTGACGCCTGGGTTGTCACAACTGCTGCGATCTGAAATGGCTGTGAAAAGCAAATCTGCATCGGCAAACACACACACACACACACACACACACACACACACACACACACACACAGTATCTGTCTCTCTTGCACAGACAAACAGCGATTCTTATTTCTATCACAGGGAGAAGTGCAGGTGGTGTAACCTTTTGCTGCTAGTCCTGTTAGAGAGAAAAACCCAGCTGTGTGGTGGGAATGACATACTGCAAATAGGCCTTCAGCTTCGTATTGGCATTCATGGAGCCTAACACACTCACACACACACACACACACAAACAGCTACACTTCCTCGCTTGTCACCATGCATATTGTTAAGCCCATCCAGAGCACCATCTTGTGGACATTTCCAGCACTGGCGGTTGTCTAAAATGTCACTTTTGATTACATCCAATTAAGCAACCGTCTAATGACGTCCAATCAAAAGAGCCTGGGAGGTGCTTTTCCTCACCAGACACAATTTTAATTATGAATCTAATTTCTGAAAATCAATTCTCTGTTAGAAAATATAGCATCATTGGCGTTGTCCGTCTCTCCTTGGCATTTTATATATCGATGCTTCTTAAGTTTGAAGTTGGATCAAAGGAAAATGCTTTAAAGCAACAAGCAGAACTATGTAGCGTTTTTTTTGTTTTTTGCATGACTAACAGCGACAAAAAAGACTCTTTGGCTGATGAACACACAAACACCGCCTCACCCCCTCGACACAGATCCAACCACCCCCCTTCCAGCTCGAGTACATCACATTCAAAATTCAATGTGTGGATGATATCCGTCTCCCCGGGGGGTGTAGCGATGCAGCCCCACAGCCTGTGCTGCGGTGCAGCCATCTGCATCGCAGTGGGGAGCACCGGACACCTTAATAATGCATCTGCTACACTCTCCTCGCCCGTCGTTTCCAGCTGAAAACCTTCCCCTCCCGATTAGAAATGAACGTCTCTGCCCTAAAGGCGTGGATCTAATGCATTGCAGGACACATCTTTTCATATTTTCTTTATTTCCTGTGATTCTGCTGTCGTTCTTTGTAACTTTTATTGACGCCAAAAGGGCTTTGCTTTCAGTATCAGCATCCTGCTTCGACCAGTTTACATCTTTGAAGATGCTCTAATCAATATTTTTATATTAACAAATGATCAAATTGCTGCTTTTGATGTGAAAGAACAGTTCCCCCTTAGCTTTACGTAGTTTTGGTTTTATGGATCAAAGCTTTAATGTATTGGTTCCCTCTCGTCAGCATTGATTGCATGCACAACAGGCAGCTGTTTTCACCATCAAATGGCATAGCGGAGAATTTAGCAGGTAAAGAGTCAGATATTTCCCACAGGAGCTGCTGGAGACTAAAAACAAGTCAGGGGAACACAAACATGACTCCAAATAAGTGATACATGTTGCTCCCTGACTGCTGGATGTAGAAACACAACTGTTTCCTAACAAGTTCATCGTATCGTCTTAAAATCTACCTCCACTGGACAATATAAGAAATCTTTATTTTAGCCATCCGCACCTTGAGAATCTCCTTCTTAGCTTATTTATGTCATGGTTTGGTTTGTTTACAGGCCTCACTCCTGCTCTCACCTTGCTCCAATGTATTGACCAGCTAACTCAAAGGTCGCCATGAAGACAAGCAATCAGCTGGGCTCTGGTACACACATGACCTCTGATGCCGATACCGGCCCGCTGCTCGAGCCGAAAAAATCTATATTTCACCTTCAGGCGCAGTCCGAATAGAAATGAGAGTGTGAAGCCCTGAAATCGATGGCTTGGATACCAGAAACACCTGTGCAGTGTGATTCAGTTCAGCACGGCAACTCCACAAACTACAACCTCAAAATGAGTTCAGTCAACACCTCTCTGAAACAAAACACAGCGTTGAACATTTTACTTTTTAATTATGTTGGTGGAATTCTCATTTAAATTCTGGTTTTGTAAACTTCTGCATAAAGTTTGAATGATTTCCACGAGGACAACCCGCTCTGAAGCAAACACTTTCATCACTACAAACAGCAGTCACAATGATCTCCTCTGTGGCTTCATTTACTGTAAATCAGGAGCATGAAAAGCATGAGAATAAAAGGTGTGAAGCCTTGAACTGCTTTGCCAAAAAAGAAAACAAATGAAAAAAGATAATATGATGAAGTGCACATTTTGAAAATGTTCGCATTTAATTGCATTCCACATTCAAGAGGATGAAACAAAAGGCACCCATATCAAGACTTAAGAAAATAAAGTACAGATAAAACAATTAGTCAATCAACAGGAAATTAATGAGCAACTATTTTGTTAATTGGTTAATAAGTTCAGGCACCGTCCAAACAAAAAAAGCCAAATATCTGATTCCATTCTCTCAAATGTGGAGTTTTGCGGATGTTTTTATTATATATGATAGTGAACGGTTTGTTTTGGACTGTGGGTTTTTGGTTATAGTGGGCATTTCTCACATCATTAATTAATCAAAGACATAATCAGCAGATTAATCTATCAGGAAAATAATCATTAGCTGCAGCCCAGAGAAAGCAAACATGTCTACACAAAATAATATCAATTAATAACAATAAGAAATCTCCTTTGTTGCTGAAACATCACAATTAACACCGAGCACAAGTCTGTTAATTGATTACATTTCTTTGCACTGAATATACAGAATGTTTAAATTACACACACAAGGTTTTCCTAACATGCAATGACCGTAACCTCTATTCATTCTCAGCTCATCTGCAGTCCTCATTCTGACATATTGGACGTAAGCTGACTTTGTTTTTTCATATGTCCAACACAGAGAGACGCACAAACAGCTGGTCAGCGTGTTTGTCCTCAGACTTCATGACCGTTTCATGGTCCATTATAGCTGAGAGAAGAGTTGAGCAGCACCGTCAACGTTTACAGATTCCTTTGGTGGCTCTCTGACAACCTAAAGACAAAAGAAACCACATTAGCATTACAAACATTAAGAGGAGTACAATGCTGGAGGATAAATACAAGTTTTAATTCTTCTTTACACCCCTACCTTTGTCTGTTTCTTTGGTTCGGGATCAACAGACTTGGAAATGCTCTTAACATCCCTCTGGACTTCTGTAAAGACTTGATTGAGTTTCTCCACTTTCTCATTCTTCACTGCATTGATCTGTGAATCCACAAATTAGTTTGCAGCAAACACTACATACAAATGAGAATATCAAATATATGCAAGACAGAAAACAACAACAAAGAGATCTTACGTGTTTGAGCGTCGTCTTCACAGGTTTCGCTCTGTTCTTGTGCTTCAAGTGCTTGGTTTCCACTCGAAAGACGTTCTTCTGTTTCTTCCCCTTTGGTTTATTCTTCCCCATGTTACCTGAGGAGAGAACACCAATTAGCTTGGATCGGCTCACGGGAGGGATTTCATTTCTAGGTTTAATCCTTACTGCAGTGTTTGCCTGCTCTTAAGTGGTGGTTTACACATTACAGGCTCACTGAAAAAAGACAGATGTTGAGATTGCTCCAGATTCTCCACATGCCTCGTACACCCAGCAGCCACTTGATTATCAACGCCTCCGTTCATGCCTAAAACTTGAACAAGGTCAAGAGGTTCAGATGAATAAGCTTCATTTATGATTCTGAAATGCTGCATGAATTGAGGCCAAACGCACCGATTCGGGCATTTTCCAATTTTTCAGCTGATTTCATGCACAACAGGCTCGACTTTTACAAAGAGTTGAAGCAAAAACAAAACAAACCGTCACCACGGTTGTCTAAAATAAGTAAAAGATAAAGAAAAGCACCTTCCAAGTGAATCTAATGCACTGGCAGGAGAAGCAGAAATGACAATAATCCTTTTACAAATGGCCTACCAACATATAAGAAATAGTATTGTTAACTTGCCAAAATACAGTCACGTGGATTGTAGGAGAGGATCGTAACAAAGTACCCAAGTACAATATTAGAGTATTTGAATATTTGCATGTAATGCAACTTTATACTTTTACTGCATTACATTTATTTGACAGTGTTAGTTATTGGTTCTCAGGATATAAATATAAATCAACTATTGGATTATGGCACATTATTATGTTGTATGTATTAAGCTATTCAGCAGTCTGTAAATTAATTAAAATTAGCTCCACCTTTACCAGCTTCCACGTGAAAGCAATGAACACATTAATGCATTCATAATTGGAATTAAAAAATATAATACTTTTCTGAAAAGGGTCGCAGTATGAGTGCTCTTAGTTTGGTACTTAAGTATATTTTGATGCTCATGCTTTTGTACTTTGAGTAAGTATTTGAATGGAAGACTTTTACTAGAGTATTTTTCCACACATTTAAACATTTAAAATGAACATTCAACTGTATACATATCCCTCTGGATAAGCAGTTCAAATATAGGTTAACACGGATGTTGTTGCCAGCTAGTTGCCAACACTGTACATGTGTCGCATGAGATATTTTTGTCATTTTCTCATGATGTTGATTAAATTTAACAAACGGGATATAAAAGGGTGTTCATAGCTTAACGATTCAGCCGTAAATACCTAAAAACAAACCGTATTTCAGGAGCTGCTCGTCGCTGTTGATATCCTCACGTGTTAGCTGCTGCGAACGTTCTTTCCTTGTTACGTCATCTGCGTGCGACGGCTGTTGTTGTCAAAGATGGCGAAGAAGAAGAACCGAGAAGAACACGACCGGGGCAAGCGGGTTTTTTCATGTCGTTATCGTGTTAAAGCAGTTGATGGAGACACGGTGAGAAGACGCCAACATGGCGACTAGAAAGCTGAATCGAGCCGGCGTCTCAGACGACGTGTGTGAGCAACTCAAGCGGCATCAAATAGAAAGTTGTAAGGACCTGTTGTCTCTGAGTCCTGTTGAGGTGATGAGTGTCGCGGAGCTGAGCTACCGGAGAGCTTCGGAGCTGCTGCAGTTGGTGAGCAGAGCCGTCGCACCGCCTGTCACCACGGCTCTGGAGCTGTGGAGGCAACACTCCTGCTTCTCCACGTCGTTGCCCGCTCTGGACAGACTGCTGGGGGGCGGTCTGCACCGTGGGACCCTCACAGAGGTGACGGGGCCCTCCGGCTGTGGGAAGACCCAGATGTGTTTGATGCTGAGCGTCTTGGCCACTCTGCCAAAGAGCCAGGGCGGCCTGGACAGCGGTGTGATCTACATAGACACAGAGTCCGCTTTCTCTGCTAAGAGGCTGGTGGAGATCGCACAGAGCCGGTTCCCAGACCACTTCGGCTGCAGGGAGAGAGCCCTGCAGATGGCCGGGCGGGTGCACATCTTCAGGGAGCTCACCTGTCAAAATGTCCTCAACAGACTGGACAGACTGGAAGAGGACATCATCTCGACCGGAGCGGGTCTCATCATCCTGGACTCCGTGGCCTCAGTGGTGAGAAAGGAGTTTGACACGACGTTGCCCGGGAACCTGATTCACCGCAGCAACATGCTGGGCCGCGAGGCCTCCACCCTCAAGTACCTGGCCCACCAGTTCAACATACCTGTGGTTCTCACCAACCAGATCACAACTCACCTGGGGGGTCAAGGATCGGAGGGGGGTTCAGGGTTCGTGACAGCGGCTCTGGGGAACACGTGGAGTCACAGTGTCAACACACGTCTTATTGTCCAGTATGTGGACGCACGCCAGCGACAGATACTGATCGCCAAGTCGCCCGTGGCTCCGTTTGCTGTGCTGAACTACACCATTGAGAAGCAGGGCATCTGTATGGATGGAGAGGATGGTCAGGGGGCCTTGTATGAGGGCACAGATCCGGGCCTCCAACCAATCAGGGTGCAGACGGAATTCAACTACAACCAGACCGAAGCTATGGACCAGACTGAACAAACACAGCAATGACTCTCCTGTGTGTGTGTGTGTGTGTGGTGTGTGTGTGTGTGTGTGTGTGTGTGTGTGTGTGTGTGTGTGGGGCCAGAGTGTGACACGGTTACTTTATTAAAGCCAATACATCATTTCACCTGACTTGTTTCATCCTCACTCATCACAGACTGATGACAAAAGTTTATATCTAGCACCATATTTTTTGCCAATTGCCCTACTCCTAGAATTCCGAGCTGTAAGAAGTACTTAGATATTTCACTTAAGCAAAAGTAGTACAACTGTGTAGAAATACAAGTAAAAGTCCTGCATTCAAAATCTTACTTACAGCTACTAGAAACTTTCATTTTGTGTTGATGTTGGCGGCCCTTGTGGACTAAAGCACCAGAGTCCCATTTTACTGCAGCAGGGTCTGACAGTCCGCCTCATGCAGTCCTGGTTCTGGTTCTCCCGTGCCTCCCTTCCTTCCAGCGGGCCCAGCAATACGGCCTGGGCCTCCAGCAGCGTGGTGTCGGTGTCGGCTTCCAGCGGGGACCAGGCGGAGCAGCGAGGCGATGCTCGGCTCCTGGCCGGAGGAAGAGACTCTGCTGCCGGCTGATTATATTTTGTGTTCTGTTAAGTAACTAAAGCTGTCAGAAGAATTTAGTGAAGTATTTCCCTCTGAAATGTAGCAGAGTAGAAGTATAACGTAACAATAAAATCGTACTTACAGTACTTCAGTAAATGTACTTAGATTTAGAAGTTAATTTTGGAGAAATTGCAACACTGTTTCTTAAACCCGACCCTTAAAATGTCCTAAATTAAATTATAGAATACTTTTGTTCCAGTTTATTTATCTGTCAAAGCTGCATGGTGGGAGAAGAAAGACAAAACCCCTATAGTTTCATTAGCCAACAGCAGGTGGCGCCATACTACCATCACCGCAGTGTTCATACAGGCTGAATGATTTCCTGATGAACGGAGCTGTCGTTGCACACTGAGCTACTGGCCACTAGGCTGCAATCAAACTGCTAATTGAAATTTGGGAAGACACGTCAACAATAAAACGACAAAAAGATTCCTCACCGAGACAATTTATTACTTCATCATTTTTGTTTCTCCATACTTGTTGCATGTCAGTGGCATGTATAGGTTAGTAATATGTGATGATAATGTTGCCAGTTAATTCTGTATCAGTTAAAACTGAGCCGTCCTCTCTGCTGCAGCACCATCACTGATAGACACATTATGTGCAGAAGGTCTCCGGTGTTTCTTATCGGTCTCTCTGAGCTTTGCAAGAACCAGATAACTCCTCAACGAAACCTATGGTTCCAAACACACAAGTTATACATATATTTTTAAACGTGTGTATAATTTAGAAATAAATAACGAAAGCAAACTCTTTGTTTAATCAAAATCCATAAACAACAATGTTGAAGCCAAACAACCATCGTTTCAATTGTTACAGTTTTATTACTTTATTAAGATTCTAGTCCATGTTTGTTAATAATTTATACTGATTTCGTTTGCATTCCCTCGATGATCCAACAAGTAACATCTGTGCGTATGTATATGCCATATTAACATATGACCACTTGAGGCCTATCTACCTTGCACTTTTACGTCTTTGCGTCGTAGTATTTTATTAGTATATTTCCGCAGCCATTCTTTACGCCTCAGCTGTAGCCAACGCTCAGTTTGAAGGTGACACATATGCTGCATGCTGTCGCGTAATTCCGTTACTTCCTGACACGACACGTAAATTAAACCCGTTAGATGAGAGGCTAGAACGCGCTCGGCATTTTACGCATGGAATACTATCCAGCTCAGCTGCCGCTTGCTAGTGAGGACTCTTCACCACCGCAGAGAGAGAGGGAGAGATAGAGAGGAGGGGGGAGAAAGAGAGAGAGAGAGATAGAGAGGAGGGGGGAGAAAGAGAGAGAGAGATAGAGAGGAGGGCGGGAGAAAGAGAGAGAGAGAGATCCTCATTGATCCACCGTGTTGCAACGCTGCGGCGCATCTAAACTCCTCCCGGTCATTGCGCGGACATCATGTGGCTAACACCAGCCCGACACACACACACACCGCTCACAGGGGACCCTATATAAGGTCTGCAGCTGTCAGGTGGACGACACTGGCTGCTTTGGGGACGACTCGCTTTAGGGAATTACAGCTCTAGATACCCGTACATCCAAACTCTATAACAATGTCTCACGCTTGGGGATACGCAGCTAACAACGGTGAGGCGCTCATTGCACGTACAGGCTATAATGCTACAATGACATTGCTGAGGGGTGTTACAACCTGTCATACCAGCGGGAACAGAATGAATGAAAACAGGGAATGCACCGGTCACTGCAGAGATTTTTAATTCTGCACACTTTGAGGGGGCCTTTTACGCGCGTTTTCAGCGCATCAACATTCTCAAATATGTCAATAAAAACTCATATTTCAAGACAAATACTAATAATAACAATTGTATAATTATATCATTTTTAGGACCCGACAAATGGGCCGATAACTTCCCCATTGCCAATGGACCCCGCCAGTCTCCTATTGACATCCTACCTGGGGCATCAGCATACGACGCGGGGCTGAAGCCGCTCCAGCTGAAGTACGACCCCTCCAACTGCCTTGAGATCCTCAACAACGGACATTCCTTCCAAGTGACCTTCGCAGATGACACCGACAGCTCAAGTTAGTGTTCCATTAATAATGTATGAATACTGGCCGCTCAGTGGAGCCCGCACTTGATATCAACGCTCCACAATCTGATTGAGTGTGCATTGTAATGCTTCGTCTCAACCTGGAGAAAACGCAATATTTTACTGCATTTTCGATTATTATTGCAATGTTTTTAGATGTAATAGAGGAGCTTTACGGTGATTGGTTTGCAAACAAAGACAATCAATGTCCTCATGATGATTTATGGGATGCAATAACCTGCAAAATGCGGCATTCAGGTTTAATGCGCTTCTGTGTGTTAACATCATCTCTCCGGTCTCCATCTTAAACTCTATAGAAGTCAAGCACGTTAATATTCTGTTAATATTATGGATGCATGCGCCCCAGTTTCCACACGCTTCTACAGTGATTTCACATTAGTGATCAATCAGACGAACATAGACTTCTTATTGGTATTTATTTCTTTATTTTGTGGTTTTTTAAATAGAAAAATAAATGTTGGTGGTTAGGCTCCAGGGGCTCCATTCAAAAGCCGAGCACAAAGCATGCAGATACTAATTGAATTGGTAATATAACCCCGAGCAAACATTTCCCACGCAGACTCTTTTCTGCAGCTATAGTATGGTCAAAAGTGCGAAACCCAATGTTACTCTGCAAACAAACCGTGGCTCTGTAGACTGTTAATGCGCTAAATATGCGTGGGAGTGAGTTACCATGTAAAGACGCTGGGTTGTTTTCACCCTGGTATAAAGTGGAGCTTGCATTGGTTCATTTCTTTTCTTTGTTAATTGCATTTCGATTCTGTTTCAGAAAGAGACAAGAAAAGGGATTTTAGATTTGGATGATTTTGGATTGGTTGTCCTTTAGCTCATCTGATAAAGGATAATGCAGATTATTGTTACATAACCAACAGAATCATGGATTATTTCTAGTGGACATGCATCAAGATGAAAAACACAGAAGCACTTTTGCTAAGAATAAGAGCTAGATGAGTTAGAGCCTCCTAAATCCTCTCTTGGTATTTCACTGTGCTTATTCTACACCCTGCCCTGCTAAATAAAGAACAAGCTAAGTCTGCATGTCATCGTCATACATCATGTCATGCATCATGTGTGTGCACAGTGGAAAAGATGAATAGCACAGACTCTTTATTTATATTTTCCAGGATTCATTTAAACTCAGGCGTAACCTCAAATGTCTCAATGATTAGTTTTGCACCTTCTTATCATTTGAGGTCGACTGCTGATAAACAAATATCCTGTTTAGAGAAGGCAGTGTGTGTGTGTGTGGGTGTGTGTGTGTGTGTGTGTGTGTGTGTGTGTGTGTGTGTGTGTGTGTAAGCTTTTCGTAACAAAGGACCAGCAATAGCACAATATACAGGATTTTCTGCTACTTCGTATACTGCAAATATACATTGTGTAACATTTGGTGGAGGTTTGACATTAACAATACTTGGACATCATTTAGGGCTGAATGTATTTGACTAGAGCTTACACAACAGGAACTGAGACTGCATTCATGAAATAGGAAGTCTGCCACGGTGACACGAGTGTTTACGTAATATGTGTTTATATATATACATATGTCCTATTCATCTTTTTAACCTGCTCCTCATGTTTTAATATTTTCTGTTCAGAAAGTATAAATATAACAAAGTCTCATCAATGAGGCGCTCAGGTTCAGTGTGTGATGAACTGACGGTTGATGTGTGTTTTGTCCTGCAGCTCTGAAAGAAGGCCCCATCTCAGGGATATACAGGCTCAAGCAGTTTCATTTCCACTGGGGAGCATCTGACGACAAAGGCTCCGAACATACCGTGGCCGGGACCAAGTATCCTGCTGAGGTACGGATGTGCTCTGACTCTAAATTTGTTTTTTTCATATATTTTTTTTTTATTTAAAAATTTTTTATTTAATTTTTTTTACTGTAATGTAATTTTAATTTATTTTTATTTTTTTATTATTATTATTATTTTTTTATTTATTTAAATTTAAATTTTTTCTTGTTATATATTGTTATTTGCACTAAAGGTTACCAGATGAGAAATGACAGGATTTCCACTGTTCCACTCAATAAGATTACTTTTGAGGGGATTAGTTTTTGTTATTTATCTCTTTCATTTTTTCCCAGCTCCATCTCGTTCACTGGAACACAAAATACGCAAGTTTTGGTGAGGCTGCTAGCAAGCCTGATGGGCTCGCTGTTGTTGGAGTTTTCCTGAAGGTCAGTATCAACGATTCGAGCATGTTTACCGTAGTAAAGTGCATACTTGTAGCCTATTGCAATGTATAATACTGTTTGCAGATGATCATATAGTTAACTTTATGTGTATTCTTCTTTTTTTTCAGATTGACGGTAGAAATGCCAATCTCCAGAAGGTTCTTGACACCTTTAGTGACATCAAGGCCAAAGTATGTGTCTATAAAAAAAACCTATATTCTCCTGAATTTATTGATTTATGACAATTTGACTGACGTGTTCTTTACTTTCTTTATTGTTTTCAGGGCAAGCAGACCACCTTCGCCGGCTTCGACCCTTCCACCTTGCTCCCTGGTTGCCTCGATTACTGGACCTATGACGGCTCCCTGACCACACCCCCTCTGCTGGAGAGCGTTACCTGGATTGTCTGCAAAGAGTCAATCAGTGTCAGCACTGAGCAGGTATGTGGCTATAGCTCACAGAGCCCATTCAGCGGGAGCAGAAGCCTTGGCTGCGTGCCTAGAATAGCCCCGTCTGCAAATCCTCTCTTACACTTCGATCTAAATCAAGGGCTTAATTGTTCAGATTAGCTGAGCGGCTGAAACGAGAAGAAGAGCTCCTCTGTAATGGGAGGAAAGGCAATATGGCACTTTCAAAATGAGACCACCAAGAGAACGAGGGCAAACGAAAGTTCACGCAGATGCTGTTTCTCTAGCACAGTGTTTCTGTTTCAGTATGTGGGAGTCAACAGGAAATGTCCACCCCACAAATGCTTCATTCTGTACTTTAGCTTCAGTCAATGGGTGATTTCACAGTACACATCACCTGCATTTGCTAAGTATTTACTCCCCAAAATGACCCCTAATCCAAGCTCTTGAAATGGATATTTGACTTTTAACCACCCGTTAATCTAAACTAACAGCCTCTTCTGGGCAGGTTTGTCCTCATGGTTGGAGCCTTCAGGCCGAGTGAGAATGAACACCGCCTGCTCAAATGTTTATTTCATGGCGGCGAGTCGGTGTCTCAAGGGTAAACACGTGAGACGTGTTGACACAACCTTTAGACTCGGTGCCATTCAAGGCAGGTCAAGCAGATAATGACAAAGGAGTCATTCATACAAAGTAATGCATGTCATTAGTTAACGGTTTCTCGTCAGGTAATACAACATTATTATATTATTTTGTCCCACTAGTAACTAGTTACCCAATGTGTACATCCTGTGGCTGAAGCAGTGTAATGACAATAGACTGATTCATGAGCCAGAGTTAATGTTAAACCCTTTAAAATAGGTCATCTGACACCCTGCTGTAGCAGCTGATTGGTTCCTCTTGTCTTGTCTGACTTTTGACTCTTTTGGGAATACGCTTATTTGTTTTCTTGCGAGTTCGGTAACAGGATCGATAACTCTTTCATGTCTGTGCGGTAAATATGAAGCTTACGCCAGTAGCCAGTTATCTTAGAATAAATATTAGAAACCTAAAATTAGTTCCTTTGCTGAAAATAGATTGTTTTTCATTTGAAACATCTCCTGCTGGTAAAATATAATGCATACTCAATGATTAAGTAACATTTTAAAATCGGGGATTTTTACGTGTAATAGAGTATTTTTACAATGTGGCGTTGCTAGGCCTGAGTAACATTTTGCCAAATACGCTTATTTACTTTCTTCCTGAGAGTTAGATGTGAATATTGATTCCACTTTCATGTCTGTGCGCTAAATATGTTGCTGCAGCCAGGAGCGGGCTAGCTTTAGCTTAGCTTAAAGACTACGAACAGTAGATAACCACAATTTGTAGTTTTTACACTTGTTTTTGTACAAATTAAACAAATGAGATATAACTTTTTAATTGGTGAGTTTTGGAGGAGCTGGTAGGCTGATTTTGTTAACTTTGTACTTTAGCTGTTTCTTCCTGTTTATGCTAAGCTAAGCTAACTGACTGCTAGCTATGTCTTCATAGTGGTAACATCAGTGGTATCAATCTTCCCATCTAACTCTCGGCAAGAAAGTTAAAAAACCTGGTTCCCACAATGTCAAACTTCTCCTGAAGCATCAACAACACAACTGCTAGGGCACAACTCTGAATTGAAGTCAATGACTCAACGGTGAGACTAGTGATGTGTTTTGATGAGTGACAGTCACAGCGGGTCAGCAGGAATGACGAACGGGACTGTCTTCTCCCTTTTCACAGATGGCCAAATTCCGCAGCCTGCTCTTCTCTGCTGAGGGCGAGACCGAGTGCTGCATGATGGACAACTACCGCCCTCCCCAGCCGCTCAAGGGTCGCTCTGTCCGTGCTTCCTTTAAGTAATGCCCCTTCCCCCGCTTTTGCCCTTTCTGCCCTGTTGCCCTCTCCCTTCCCCCTCCCGTTAGTCAGAATTACCTCTTTTGCAGTGAGCCACGAAGCACACATATCTCTCTCCATCCAATTTTTTAAAGAAATCTAATTCCTGTGGCCCGTTGCTTTAAACGCTGGCCATTCTAACTGTGATGTGAAGTACTTGAAGGATTTGCAAGTTTCTCTGTAAGTTACAAGCCAGCACAGATTCCCTGTCATAATTTATTCTGAAAGACAAAACACTTCACAATAGCTGCGACACGTTTACTAGGATTCAGCATCTGGTGCCAATGTTTTCCGAGATGTGTCACCGGAGTTCATAGGTCTTATTTTGTGTCAACAAAGACAAAGAAAAAATTAAGATAAGCTGCAGTCAAAATGGTGCCAGCAGGAAGCGGAACGCATAAGCTAGTCGCAGTGGGCAGCAAGGGGGGGGGGGGGATGAGACTACATCACCATCTGTGAGGAGGTTAAGGTGCAGATAAAAAAAGACACACACACACACACACACACACTGGACACATACACTCCCGTTGCCAGTCTGTCTGTAATCTCTGTCGACTGCCAGCCTCCGCATCACAGCAGCTTAATGAAACGCTGCAGCCGCCTCCATCACAAACGATTGACTCAGAAAATCCCCCTCTGGCACACACACACACACACACACACACACACCATGGCACGCTCAGCCTCGTGCAGACATGATGCCTATAGGCGCTGACCTGCTTATTGATTTGAATGCAGTGCAGAGCAGCAAAGGACACGAGGACGGGCTGCTACTACTGTGAGATACCGAACATCATGGCTCACTGCTCTTATTTTGCAGCCTAATTTTTAAATCGTTCATGTGTTTGTCATCCTGTATTGTGTTTTTATTAGTATTGTGTCTTTTCTAACCTGACTGCTTATGCAAAATAAGTGATTCCTAAATTATGTTTTGTAACCAAAAGCTCGGCTGCATTTTGATGCCGTGGTGAAATAGCAATAGAGAGGAATGATCCTCCTTTTCTATATGAAATGTGTGTTGTTCTGAAACCCCAGCAAGTGCTAAAGCTTAAAACGCACAGTCGCCTTGAGGGCGAAGCCATAGTGGCTGATGCACAAAGCCAAGGAATAAATTACCCTGCCAAGGAAGACGGGAAGAAAAGAAGCTGCCAATGGATCTGATTATAATGTCAGCCTGCTGAAGAACTAACAAAAGACCATGAGAGGGACTGAAGACCTCTGGTGTTAGCCCTGTATGTATTTATGAAACAATAAAGAAAGATTGTATTCACATAAAAAGGAAAAAAAAATTACCTTATGCCAATCTTTATTAGGGACGTCCTATGAGTAGGTGTTGTCGTCATTCTATTTCTGAAGTGGACGTTTTACTCGTGAAATAAATATATTTTATGACTAACAAGTGTCAAGTGTTTCGCTTCTTTCTATACAATTCAGCAAATCCTCCATATTACCTGTTTGAGTCAATCAGACCACGTCATGTTTGCCATGCAGACTGTCAGTGACTCTATTCTGTTGTGTCAACACCTGAGACCCAACAGGACTAGAACTACACAATCTCAAATGACACGTTGGTGAAAAATGAATCTTTAAAATGATTATTCTAAGTATGCTATATCTAAATATTATTACTTCTGGGCTGTTTTATCATTTGTTTCTCAGCCAAATAATTTAAAAATGAAGAAATGTATCAAAGAGACACCCATGTTGCAGTAGTATGTCTACATGTGCTTGAAAATGTTTAGGTTGTGCTGTCTGGTGAAATTATCTATCACAGCAAAATGTGAAACCGATTATTATTATTGAAGGACAGTCACAGTTCATTTGCATATTGTGTCAAACAAAAATAGACCAAACACAGGAGGAAATGCGTGTCTTTCTTTTTCAAAATGACTGACCGACGGTAACTACCCCCCCTGATAGTGTGTGATACTTTAAATTAGGAGCCATGGCAAATATGTTATCCATCTATTCTATTTTATCTATTCAAACTGCAAAGACTGCAAATGGTTGCTTTTGACTGAGGTCCCCTGAAACCCAATACATTTGTATTTAAAAAAAAAGTCAAAACAGAAACAATGATATGAAGTCATTAGCAACCAATTGACTGACAAAGTCATGAAAGATGAAATAAAACACCTGTATGTCTCTGGGGCCTTCAGGGACCCCCCAGTTGATGGGATGAGAGTTAAATGTCTCTAAAGATAGACGTGACGTTAAACTTCTTGGACGTGCATCTTGTGGTGATCATATCACTGAAGTCATTACTAAAGAAATTAGATGTTATCAAACTTCCTGTTCACCTTTGCAAACATCCACACACTATCTGCGGCTGTTAGTGCAACATGCAGGGGTGGAGGAAGAACTGATCCTTTCTTGAAGGGATTGTTTCAGAATGTGGAAATTATGTATTTTGGATGTTTTCTTTCCACTAGTCTGAAATAAGGCATGTTATAGCCCAACATATAGCAACATAGCCCAAAGTCTTGCATAAACAATCTATATTTTGGGCAGTAGTGTAGCTCTTTCAGAAACAGCTCCAGTTCGTGGATTTTGTAAGTACCTGTGGAAATACTTGCCTGTAATAAAACTGCCCACAGTCCAAAGTACTGCTAGTTCAGCAATGGGGACGGAGTATTTTCCCGCATTGAAGCCGAGCTGCTTCCTAATCCTAAACTATGTGTAATGGTTTTAGCTAATCAATAATCTTAAAACTGCAGACTGAGACAGAGTTGAGTGGGGAAAAATCCTCCAAACAAATCTATTAAAAGTGATTCTGACTGCCGACACAAATCAGATGGTGGGCGATGGGGGATCATCACGTGTGGGACAGTATAGACACGGCTAGCTGCTAACACCTCAGCGCTCAAAATCTTAATCAGCAGCGGCATTTCGCCCTGAATGTGAGCGATGCTTGACTTCTCCCCTCTTGTGTTAACCCTCGACGGGACGATGAGACGGGTTTTAATCAACAGAGTTTCTCGACCTCCTCTGCTTGAAGGGTTGGTGTTACCATAGTTTTGTCAGCTGGTCTTGAGGCTCTGTGGGGGAATGTGTGTGTCCCCAACGTACAGGAAAAGTTGTCTTGACCACACAGAGCTCTAATTAAAGCTGGATTTGTCCCCAGTGGACTCTTAGTCGCCCAATGTGTCCAGAAAACATCAATAGAAATGAGAGCTATCGACTGATAAAATGTCTGTCTGGCTCCGAATCAATAACGAATTGTTTAATTAAAAAAAACTCTGGCTGACATCCCCAGTGGTGGCATTGGATAAAAGTGTTATAACCAGTCAACCCACAAGGTCAGCCTGCAGCAGGAGACAACAGGAGATGAAACCAGTAATGTCTGGATTCTCTCTGTGGTCAAACCAGTTACGGTATGAACTCCTGCTCAACAACGAGGTCAATCAGTCTGTTTTGTTGTCAGGCTGCGAGGTGAAGTATGAGGAACTGATGCCTATCAGTTGAACTGTCAGTCCAATTTGTAGCTGGAGCTACAGCCAATGAGAGCTCAAGACACGAGCTGAGGGAAAACCTAGCGGAGGGGTCGCCTCACCCACCTGTGTGTGTGTGCAATGTGTTGCATTTGCAGTCGTTGCACCAAGGTTGCTGGATGTTTGCATGAATAAACATAACATAACACAGTGACTGATCTACATAGGGGAAATAGTAGAGACGTGTGGAAACAGGCTTTTATGTGACATCAACAAGCGTATCAGTGGCGTGTGTTTTGGTGATAAAAACTTAGTTCGGAGACCTCATTCGGAATCCTGTCAATGAAAAGTCTCGTAGTTTGTGACACTTTCGACAGTCAGTCATGTCATTTGAAATCCACTACAACTCATGGACTCCTGATTACAAAACAGCAGGTTGTGTACTGTGAACAGTACAGCGGTCTTTGAATGTCGTGCAGTGGCTTAATTGATCATTTGCTAAACCCCACTTAACCTTATTAGTTAGTGTTGCTACGTCTGTGGAGCTTTCCATTCTTGCACGGCACATAAGCAACTTACAATGACACCAGTGGCAGATTCAACCTTCAGAACTCGTATACTGAAATGACGACTGTCCTGTGTAATGGAAAACGTCTTAGTATGTTGTGTAAATGCTTAAGTGCTTGTACTTTTGCTCTGAACTTAACGTTAACATACGTGCTCAAATGTATCTTGCTGTTGGTGTAATAGAAACTTGATATTCTTATGAGTATTTTATATTCTTGTAAGTAGAACTGTTTTATATACGTTGTGGATCTGGTGACTGCCAGCACCCATATCCTCTTGTTCTCTATGTTGGATAACAAGTACCTATTGTATATTCACATGTTCTATGCCTTAAGGATGAAACGTATATATCTGTGTGTCTGTTGTAACACAGATAAGGCACCTCTTATACTTTACTACCATGGCCTGCACGGCCTGAAACAGGATGTTCCAGTACACAGGCCCCAACCCTTGTTCACTCACTGTGCCTCTTCTCTGGCCGGAGAATGAATACTTTTAAAAGACAAGTTCTGTTTTGACAATATTCTTCATTTCAGCTTAAAAAAGACCAGTTTTTTAAGTTTAAGACCAGTTTTTCTCAGCAGTAGCCAGCTAGCTCGTTATTCTATGTTAAGAGTTAGTTTAAAACGCTTTCTTCGACTAACTTAACCAGTTGTTCTGAATGACATTCTCTGCACAAACTAACCGAACTAAAGGTGTAAATAAAATCAAAGATGTCCTTTTAACATCCTCCATGCTGGATTGTATGAAAAACACTGGTTTTGATCACCTTCATCCCCCCATCTTTATCTCAGTACAGCCCCCTTTTTCCACAGTCCTATTATCCCACCAGCGCTGCCTTTGTGTTGCATCTTTTCATCCTACTTGCTTGTTGTGACAGCTGGGTGAGAGGAAATATCCTGCTGGGTCACCATCATGTAACACACATGTGGCCACGCTGACTTGCATGCCTTGTCTCCCTGAAAACATGCTTTAATAAACCGATCAGAGTACAGCACAAGGCCTGGTCGTGGTCTGCAGCAAGGTCAGAAACCTCAATGTCATAACAGATTTGCATTAGTTACACTTCGCTGAGCCGCACATGGAATACATGAGAGGACGATGGCGTATTGTCGTTTAAATAGATTTTATTGATGATATAAGTGGAAGGCAAACTAAATCAGGGCTAATTCTTTATTATCAGCACACAACAAGTCACGGTCAGCATGTCACACATTTTCCCCTCAGGCTTCTGACCAGCTTGTTGCATAATCAGGGGTGCAAGCGGGGGACATGTATTCAGCAGACATGAATACACACACATAGAAGAGAGAGGGAGGGAGTCTGAGGAAATGCACACCTCTGCAGTATGCAGTCAACAGATCCGACGCTGCACTTCTGTGTGACTGACAACCAAGGTGATATCTAACCTCTAGTCAAAGACAGGGACGTCTTGACAAAATCACACAACACAAAATTTGTATTGATGTGGTTTTGTGTTCTTACAGTACAACCTCTTGTACAGGAGCACTCCTCTGTCTGCCAAAGGAAACTTGCAGATCTGTGATATTCCATTGCGTGAAAGGTTTCACCACTTCAGGTTGTGGTACATATGGGTCCAGCTGCTGGGACACACATCAGGGTCTGGACAATCCTGGCTTGGTCGCTTTTGTAGGTCAACGTTTGTTTGTTGTTTTTACCAGTGTAACCAGTATGATGGTGTTTGAATGGCTACATTTCTGTCATTTGTGGTGGGGATGTGTGTTTTTGAAGCTATTATGTGCACTGATTGGGTCACATGGTGTTGATCAATCATGTGATAGAACATGTGTGGCTGCTTAACGAGGTTAATAGGCCTGATGAAGAACACTATGTTTGAAATGTCGTTATGTCGAATTTGGTGACGATAGGCTATTTTGGCAGTAAAGGCTTTCGATGCATAAGTCCAGTAATTCACATTTTGTAATTGTGTGTTTTGCATCCCATGAGTCCGTCAATGAGGGTGAGATGGACAACAGAGTGCTGCAGGAATAAGTACAAACACCTGGAAATGCCCTTTGGGTCTTGGAGAATTTTTTTTTTTAAAGGGTTTTTGGTTAGATGGATATATATATATATATATATATATATATATATATACAAAATAAGCTTTGGAGATTTTAAAGTTTTGTCAAACGGCGTAAAATACTCTCACTCCAACTACAGCAAATTTCCTCTGTAATTTCCTGCTCTTGGTCTTCATTGCCATTTTATGTAAACACCCACCTCCCAAGTAGAGTGTTTCACTGACATATGTGAAATCCACTGTGACAAAAGTGTGCGTCATTATACTCTCCCTTATTGTTTGATTAAGAAATAAATGATTCAACACACTCTGGCCTTTAACCTGGGAATATAAAGCATGAAATAGATTGAAATT